ATTTCTCACCCTGTCACGTGTAAAACTACCTGTAAGGCGGATGAGCGTAAACACATTGATTTGATCAACGGTCTTCAAAGTAATTAAAATTTGCATCTTATTTCTACATAGAACCTGGGCATCCCAGACCGAAGTATATTTTGAAAGTCATGGAACTTGTAAATCGTGGTTGTTTCGTTACAACAAATCCGTATGTAAATCAATTTCAATTAATCGAGCATGGTGGCATTATTCTGTCCCCAAGTGTGGTGAGTTCAACCGATTTTACTCGGTCATACTCCCTTTTAAAGCAGATAAACCCAGACACTGTTATTCCCGCTTAGTCAAAACTATTTGTCATGAAAAAGTTAGTAATTTACAACACGAATTCACGTTTATTTACCATTTACGGGCCAGCGGTTTACAGATCTGTAAACCAACTAATTAAGCGTGTCGCCCTTAAGATTTCAGATTCAGATTTATTGGTTGAGGATAGAAGGCTTGGAGCCTATGTTAATCCTTTTCTAGTAAATTTCTGTGGTTGTCCAAACCCTTCTTGAACGAATCAGCTGAGGTTGCAGACACCACTTCTTCTGGGAGTCGGTTCCAAGAGTTTATGACTCGGTGTGAGAACCAATACTCAACAGCAATATGATTTCTTCTTGGCTTTTGAACTCTCCTGCTATGTCTTCTAAGGTGTTCCGACCTGGTGGGAAGGAAAAGAGAAAATAGGTCAGGTCCGTAGTCATTATTTAAAATTTTAAACATTTTGATTAAATCTCCTCTCTGCCTACGGTATGACAAGGAGAAGAGATTTAAACTGTCTAGTCTTTCTTCGTATGATAAGTTAGTCATGCCTTGAACCATACGTGTTGCCTTCCTTTGAACCCTTTCTAGAATAAGTGAGTCCCCTTTTAGACAAGGGCTGGCGGCCTGGATGCAGTTTTCCAGTCTTGACCTCACCAGAGATGTATATAAGGAGGTGAACATATCTCTGGTGATTCTAGTGAAGGCTCTACGAATTGCCCATAATGACCTGAAACTACGTGCAGCCACCGCGCGACAGTGTGCTGTAGTTTTTAAGTCGTGGCTAACTATGACACCTAAGTCCAAGTGAGTCTGAACTGATGGAAGTGTAATTCCCTCTAGTTCATAAGAGCTCGTGCTTGCTTGTCCAATGCGCATGGTTGCACATTTTGCCACATTTATCGGGAGCATCTATTCTATGGACCACTCTGACAATTAGCTGAGGTCCTCTTGCAACGTGGACGTGTCACTATTTCCCTTCAGCTCTCTCCAAATTTTTAAGTCATCTGCGTATAGGACCATAGGGGAATCGGTGAGCAGAGATAACTCATTGATATACAAAATAAATAGGAGAGGTCCGAGTACCGTGCCTTGTGGCACTCCGCTGCGTACTGCTGTCCAAGAGGAGAGTTTCGAGTTGAACAGCAGTACGCAGCGGAGTGCCACAAGGCACGGTACTCGGACCTCTCCTATTCACCATTCACCTCAAGTTACTATGCAGGGGAAGCCTAGTCTTAATTTTTGCGGGTCAACTGAAGTTGGAGGTGGTGTAGTGACCCATTTTATTACTCATAATCGTACTATACTTTCATTGTGTAATTGTACTTTGATTTGTTTATTACTCTAAATCTTGCATGTTAACAATTGATACCTTTTGTGCTCGCTCGATTTTCGAATTTTGATTGCTGCAATAATACACTATCGTATTCCTTCGCAAGTGCCTTTTGAATTACGTTGTGGACGTCGAGTAATCACAACATTAAGTCACAATAATAAACGCGAAGAAGTACTAGAATATACGTGTACTCTAGTTTAGTCAATATATAGCAGCACAACAGTGGGATGTCCTTTCTTCGATAAAATATACTGCTGGTTACAAACTGAACGCAACAAACAAACTCACAGAAATACTCCAGCTGGTCGGGTGAATGAATAGTGAGAGGAGTGAAAGAACGCACCAGTGACACTTACACTCAAAGTCATATCGAAGTGGTGAGGCCAAGTAAAAATTGCTATGTTTGAGAAGAAATGCTGAGAAATAGGCGAGAAATTCGAGCACTCTCATAATGTTTAGGCCATGAATGATTTTGTGAGCTCAGGTAATAATAATAACAGTGACAGTAATAATTCACCACAAAACAGGAATCAGACGCCATTATCAGTCCAAACCATCGTCTGTGTGACAACTGGCTCCAGATGAAAAACTCTATCGTCTCAACTACCAGAAACATCAATAGTGAATTGACGACAGCTCTTATGACCGCAGAAACGAATCGAGGCATCTAAGCCAAGATTTACTACCTTTTTATTCACTCCAGTTTGCACTCGGACAAATGGTTTCAGGATTGAGCTTCAAAGTTTCAGTAGCAGTGTTTAACAATGTAGGATTGCAAGCCTCACGCTTAACCTCACTTCTTTAGCGCATCTAATGCCGGGTAGGCGAGGTCTAGAAGTGCGTATGCAGAGGATAGAACCCCGGACCATTTGGGAGGTTGACCAGTGTCCTACTACCAAGCCATCGACACAAGGACTTACTAGCGAAAGACTAACTCGATGTTCTTCAGGCAAGGCCAATCTCACTACTCATGAGAGTGTCGTAATACTGGTGAGATTCTGTCTCCCTTCTGTGAGAGTTTATCAATTACGGAATTCATTGACAGCTGACACAGCTTTGTCTGCTGGTTTAGGCACACATCATTCCTCTCCAGGGTAGGCCTACTCCTACTTTGCATGAATCAACAGTAAGTGCTGTTGTGTTGTGGTTTGCTAGAGGACGCTACTGGTTTACATTTGGATGCGAGAAACGAGCTCCAAGACATCGGGAATTGAACCTTCTCTCTTGAAAATTCGAAGTATATTTTGCGGATTGTTGTGATAAATCAATTTTCATTTGGTGTTTTAATTTGTTTCATTCTTCACGACTGTAGATGCATTCACGTCTCTCTTTTTGGATTTATCTCTGTCTTTCGGCCATTTTTTCATTTTGATTTTCAAATTGTTTGAACAATTGTATGAAACTTAACTGCAGTCATCATTGACTCTGAAAACACACACAATGTATATATAGTGTTGGTTCACTTTATTGAGAAATTTTCCCCTTGAAGTGTTATTAGTATTCCTCGCCAGTTTTCCACATATTTGCATGTGGTATAGGAGATTAGGAAATCACCAGTGGCCTGAAAGTCAGTTTATAGACAAGAAGTAAAGTCTTGATGTGTCTAGCTGTGTAAGTACTGGAACAGCATATCATTTTTGATGTCACATGTCTAAATTTAAATATACTTTGACATATAATCGGCAAGATCTATACTAGCTTGCAAACTTTTCTAGATGCCATATATTACTTACGTAGCACTCTGAAGTATCCAGTTAGTCTACTGGCGATATGAAAAGCGGAAGTTTGCAAATCGGAAATAATCGTTTCATTAAAAACTGACATCATTCATTACCCTCAACACACATGGCTTACATCTGTTTCAGTGACTGAGTGTTGCATTCAAAGTAGCTGAGAAAGATATGTCTAGGACTCTTAGATACCACTAAAATTCCTTATATTACATCTCGCTTGACTTTCATTTCAGTTTCCTTGGGAAACTGTGTGCAAATAGCCAGACTGAGATCATCCAGTAGGCTGTACACACGCATGGTTGCTGCAGTTACAGGTTTACTGTAGTCTTTATCTAGAAACGTTCATTAGACGAAGTAGATTCATATAAACATCCATGTGTTGACTCTTGTTTGCCACAGACTTCCTTTGTTTAATCAGATGCTTAGTTCTTTCCATTACTGCATTTCGAAGATGCATTATTTTAACTGACTATTGTCTTCGTCATTCAAAGTGCACCTTATAAATAGAAGAATGATTACATTAGTGTTGATGTGAACATGAGAAACAATGGGTTTAGTCTGAATGACCTCCGTACATTCAGACAGAATGAACGTTGCATATTAAACATTAATATCATTGTTGTCAAGTCATTGCTCATCCAATTACTTGCTTCTTTATGAATTTTGTTCGCACCCAGTAATGACTGCCTGACATATGAAAACAGTCAAATTTTTGTAACCTAAACTCATCAATTTGGAGGAAAATTCAGTTTTTCGAGCCAAATTTTGATTCAAAATCTCATTATATTTCAATTTCAATGTAGTGATATGGATTATGCAAATATACAGTGAAAAACGATGAGATTTGGCAGATGAGTAAATGTTTTCAAGATTTTGAAGTCATGACTAACGACTGGATAGTGTTTGTCATTCATTGATTCGCTCACCAGTTATTTATTGGTGCTTTAAACGTGACGTAGGTGCTATTTTGTACAGTTCCGTTCTACTTGAGGGGAAAATAAACACACTGGGGTTCTCAATATTGACGTCATTTGCATAGAATATATTCTTAAAACTGTTCGATGAGTATCTAAAAACCTCATATTTTAACACCACTGGCTAATGGGAATTCTTGAAATACAATCGTTCACACAGTTTTATTCATTGTTTGTAAGCGTATTTTCAATGCAGAATTAGGCGTGTCTTCCTTGACAGTACACAGACGAGTGAGGCTGACTAATCTTCAGTGAAATATGCAAGATGAATTCAATTATGTGAGAGATTTCGGTTCAAGTATGACATGGTAGTTGAGATCAGATAGTATCCTTAAGTAAAAGCAAGTATCCTAAGGATCCTAGGAAAATAGCACAAATCCTGCAGAAAAGCGATATCTCCAGTCCCGTAACAACTGACGCTCATCTGTCTGCATTTCCATCAACTTAAAGAGGCAGTCAGCAATGAATGACGTTGGAATATGACGACTCTCATATACTTTCATGATACAGACATGCTCGTATACTTCCATAATTTAAAATGTATTTCTCATTTTATCTTTTATAATTTAGCAACTGCGCATTCTGACATTACTAAAACCCGGCATTGAAAGTGGTGTTCGTGTTTTAGTTCTTGACCCAGGCAGTGGATACCTCACAGCATGTGTTTCGATTATGGTAAGTCTGTTGCACTGAAATACACTGTTTAATATCTTTGTATTGGATGAATTTATCATTGTCAAGAAGTTTTGGGTCAGTAATTCATTGGAACTAACAATAATCCACTGAGTAATATAGATAGGCCCTGAGAAACTTACTGAAATTGATTGGGGCGTGCTAAATACTACAATATCTACATTGAAATATTCATACGGACTAATGTTAAACATGTAACACGAAATACATTGTAACACAATACCAAGTCACTGACCACTATGAACATATTTCAAAATAGTCAACAGTTATCCTATAACTCTGCAAAAATAATTGGCCGTTGTTTTGTGATCAAATTATTGTGATAGATATATGCTCCTCCTCTCACTAATGTGTTTCATTTTCAAGATGAGATGTTGAAACCCTTCCCTAAGACGATATGTGCACCTGTACTAGTTTTAGTCTTGATTCTAGTCATATCGACTTCTATTTGACTCTAATTCGCTTGATTCTCAATGTTTGTACTATGAAGAACTGTTAATACTCATCATGAAGCATAATTTTCTTTTTATACCCAAGTGCCCTTTGTCCTACGGAATGTTAAAATGTTTCTCAAAGTTAGAAAGTCATGACAAACCAAGTAGGCCCGAAAAGCTGTTTCATCTCAATTTGAAACTTTTCAGAAGTATCCAGCAATGGTGCCACTAAGAATCAAACATTAGACCTTCAGGTTACGAAGTAAGTCTGTTTGTCTTTCATGAAGCGCGTCGGAACCTAATGGTTCATGTGTTCTATTTTCTGTCGATTAGCAATGTAACATCCACGCACCTGCTTTATTTCCCACATTTTGGACTCCTCTCTTCACGCCTTCTCAATAGAGCTTCAGGAAATCTATATTGTTTGCAATATTAAGCAGAAGAATCATGGTCAACAACTGAGTACCCATAATTGATGATGGCGGTATTCGGCACAGTTAATTCATGCGAAATTGGATTCTGATGCAGTCACTGAACAATGAACACGCTTGCTACGTATAATGAGTTTGATTCTTGCTGGAGTGTATGTGCGATGTTGAATGGTCCCAAATTAGAGCAAAAGACCTATTCAGTGCTCTATGCCTTCCAATGAATCTCTAACTGATGTTGGTTCGTGATGAAATGTGCACTAATATTATCTTGATTTATTCTCTGATGCTGCATTCAGCTGATGCAGTGAGATGCAGTATTTTAGTGGTTTATTTGATTTTATTGATCAGTTGTTAGAAGGTTTATTTCATCCCCATGGTTTTCGTGATAAAAGTGCTGACGGTAACGAAAGAATTATTATTATTCTTAAGACACCGATATTTGCGATTGTTGTGTTCATGGAAGTTAACACATAGTTCATAAACGCTTACAAATGTGAAAGATTTATTTAAGTTGAAAAAACCACGTAAACAATTTTCACTTCTTACAAGTAATCCCATGTCAATAGTGTTGTACTAGAACAATATGTGGTAGGCTATTTATCTGTTCTTGGAAATCTACTAAACATGAAGCAGTCTACAATTCTATTCTCTTTGTTTGTATTTCTTCTGAAGAATGGTCGCTCTGGTGTCACTGTTGCAGCCTTGCCAAATGATAAATTAATTGAGTTGGCTTCGAATAATGTTAAAAGTTGGTTGGATTATAAAAATAGAGGTCGTGATTTTGGTTTAAAATTTGGGGAACAGATTCGATTCTCATCTGGTGACATTCAAAGCGATTGGTCAAAAGAGACTCCGTTTGATGCCATTTTTGTTCATACAACGGAAAAAAGTGTAGTGGATAAAGTGAGTCTGTAAACATATTTTTTCCACACTGTAAATACTAAGAATTTATTTGGCAGGAAATGCGTCTGAGTCCCGAAGAAACTAATGCTCTATGAGGAGAATGTTATCAATGAAAATTAAGAAGTTATCTGACATACTGAATGCACATGTCTGTTGGTCTGCGATACAAAAGCAAACACAGAACTATCTCGCTGTCAATTTATGGGCCACTCACCAAGCTATTAATTATTGGAATCAAACGCTAGAAGACGTGGTGTTCGAGTCTTCAGTCTATTTCTTTAGGAAAGAGTTGATGAAGCATATGTACTTATGATGAAGGGACAGGTACAGGCTTGAAGCTTTGTACGTTACCCAAAACCTGAATCTGTTTGTCTCCCCCAGTGATCCATGTACATGATTTTAATGTTATCCAGTCAAATATTTTTGACTGATTTTGATCAGAGGACACAGTTATTTTACAGGAACCAGGTATTATAACATTCCCTCATTCATTTTACACTTCATGATAACTCTATCCATGGATGAACCAAGGGCATATTTCTTCTTTTTGTGAAATGGAAATTAGTTACGCTGCACCAACGCTTACATCAACGTATGCACCTAGTGAGAGTTTCGTGAAATCGTTACAGTCCATGTCTATGATGTCATAGTTTGCAACTGCACAACACGACCACTCTGATATGATAATACTAAACTTTTCAGTTTAAATTCAGTCAAGCTTGAATTAGATTTTTATGATAGCAAAACATTTCATCCACTATTTATAGGGAATTAATACTATTTGTACTATATATGAATTGGTTGGTCGAGTAAAACTTTCCCATTATGAGTTTGGATTTCTCGTCGGCAATGAAATCAAGTGAATGTTGCTGTTATTGTTAGTCCTCTGGGCTACTCAGTTTGTTGTATAGATACCTAAATAAGACATGACTTCATAAATTAGCAGGAAAACCTTTCACCAAATCTATTAGGCACGAAATATGCCTAGTTAACTAATACTCAAGTATTGGTTTTATAGGGATTTTGTTCGATTGCATGGAGGATTTCATCATGAGCTGACAACAGTTAGAGAATCACTGGAAAATCTAGGAGTACTGGACAGCTGTTTTATCCTAGTTTGCGACTCTTCAGCAGTACGCACCCACCGGGATTCGAACCCAGGGCCTTCTGGTTACAAGGCGAGCTCGTAGAACATTGAGCCACTGGGACCCGATCCAATGGCCCTTGAATTGGCAGAAGTTAGAATTCAAGGGTCCTGGGTTCGAATCCCAGTGGGTGCGTTCTGCCGAAGAGTCCCAAACTAGGATAAAACAGCCGTCCAGTACTCCCAGGTTTTCCAGTGATTCTTTAACTTATAGTGTCATTGATACTACTTCCGACATTTTCTTTTACGATGGATCAGAAAATTTATTTGTAAATGTAAATTTAAATCAACCCCGGCGTTAATATAACTTCATTTTGTCTCCTCTGGTGAACTCTCTGTTCGCTTTGATCGACGCCGTTTGTGTCCAGTGATTATGGGAATATTAGGTCTTCGTGTATGTGAATTTCTTGCTAGATGATAGCCATTAGTGCTGTCTGACCTTAAATGTGTTGACTGAGATCTATTGACTGAATGTGTCACTTGGTAACTGAAGTAAGGGAGAAAATAAATTCTCACACATTTAAATTTTCTTCAGTGTTTCATTTATCCACAGGTGTCTAGGTTGTAAGTCTAGAACTTCGGTTTGATTCTTCAGTATTGTCATATGGAATATGAACTAAAGAGTCCGAGATGATACCATAATTTATGTTCCATAATTAACTCAGAGTAAGATATTTAGAAGGAAGATATATAATGAAAACCGACTAGTCAGGTCAGACATGACCTAAACAATTTAATTCAAATTAATATAATCCGTTTATTAAGTGTTAACAACCAGTGGTTTTCAAACTAAATTATCACAGCTTCGAGGAAACACATTTCCTATGGCATCGCTTCTTCACAATTCCGATGATTGTTTATCTTTGTGTGATGTTAGGAAGTGTCTGCACACCAGCTGATACTTATCAAGGCTACACTTTCTATGCTGGTTTATCAGTCACTGTCATTTTAAGTTTCCAGCTTTGACTAAGGATTACCAACTAATTCCATAATAACGTTATTTTCCTGTGGTGTTCACTTTTTCTACACACAAATGACCTAGATGAAAAAGCTGCTGAAACCCGGTGGCCGTATGATCTGTCTCGAAAAACGTGCTGGCGGTCAACAAGTATTATATCGAATCGATTGTGTACAGCCAGGTTTCTATCGACAATGGACTGCGATTGCTATAGAAGATGTTTCATTTGCTGAAGGACAGCAACTAAAGGAACCTATCTTGCTAACACCAGGGAAGCCTACAGTAGAAACTATTGATGAACCTGCAAAAGAAACTATTAGTGTACCTCCAAAAGAGACCATTAGTGTACCTAGAGAGGAGACTATTACTGTACCTAAAGAAGAAACTATTCCTGAAACTTCAAAAGACCAAGTTGATGTACCTCCGGAAGCTACTCTTGATGCGTATAAAGAAGAAAGCATTGATGAATATTATACTGAGGAGGCCTCTTTTGAATATGGGTGAGATTTTTGTATATATATATAATACTCGTGTTTATTTCGGGAAAGTTCAACAGACGTTGGCTGGTTTTCGTAATGACCTATCAACTCGCATAAATTTACTTTCATGTAAATCTTAGAAAATTACTATTTATGCATCCAAACTGTGCACATAGTTCAGCGAAGAGGCTCTTTGCAGCGAATTCATTTTCTTTCGTTGTACAATCGCATTTAAATACAACTGTTTTTCGTGAAAGATGGTAGTAACACAAGTGATGAGTTTTCAAAAACACAGTTGTTAATATTAATCGATACACGTGTTATAAGGATTTCAAAAACCCGATTAGCAAAGCCAGGTCAGCAGAAATCAAGAAGGTGACACCTTGATGGTGGAAAGGGTTGGATAGTTTTCTTCTGCATGTACAGCTTAGGTTTCACTAAATGAATAAATAATTCTCCAGCACTCCAAAGAAGACGGAAGGATGTTACATTTGGCAAGTGGTTCTTCACTTTGTATGCCACTTTGAATGAGGCGTTTGTTGAACTCATGTCCCTTCAAGGTTGCAGATACGCCTTGCTGACGAGTGCCAACTAGCACGAAATCCAGGTCCAAGGCTTCCTGCCGATTGCCTCCAACCATCTAATATCATCGAATCAATGTGCACCGTGATGGTGAGCTACCTAAAATGGTGACCACATTGCAAAAACCTGACTGATAGAATTCAGTCTGCACCAAAGAAAGGAGATCATGTGAAGAGGAATTGAAAGCGTGTGGGCAGACTTGGAGCCAGGTGAAAACTACAGCAGAGAACCGAACGCAATGGAGACGCATGGCTGAAGCCCTATGTTCCTCTAGGAATTAAAGGAAATAATAATAATAATATAATAAATAAAATACCAAAGAAAGGACTAGACACGTCACACTAGTTACTAGTGTCCAGTCAGAATAGCTAAATCTCCAGCAATCCAGAGAAGACGGAAGCATATTTTCTTTTGCAGGTGGTTTTTTACTTTGCATGTTACTTTGAATGAGGCGTTTGTTGAAACGGAATCACCAGTGTTGACAGGGTGCTCGGTCATAGCCAAGAAATATTTCAGTGTTGGACTCCAGTAAGTATGTTTGAGTTCGCTTCTCTGTAGAGCGATTCAGATGCAGACAATGTACACTCGTCTGTGTACAAAGGTCTCCTGGCTCTCAAAATTTCAACCTACGAATCCTGAGTGAACCTAGAACTTGTCAGTCAAGCTTTGACCATTCCTTCTCATCCTTAACCAAATTACAACCATTTCATTTCCTGAAATGTCTCATTTATATACCAATATCACCTTGATTTCATTTTTGATATAATCGATGTCGATAATTCGATCACCAGTTCGTTCTTGTTCATCGTGAAAACCACACAGTAAATAACCACCTCATTGAAAATGTTAAGTGAATTAGGATTAGTCAAAAAGATAACTAATCACTGAATGTTGTAATCTCCACTAGTTATTTTACTCGACATTAGGAAATATCGGTCAGCTTGGTCAAGTAAACCAAGACTGATTAGCTTCTTGATTTTAACAATGTTATTCATCGCAAATTCATAATACCGCGTCGATCTCATTTATCGGTGTTGTTACTGTTACTCGTTTACAGAGTATTCGACGCCGACTACTTCCAAGCTGAATCAAAACAAGTTAAATGTATTGCAAACAGTAAAGTCCTCTTGTCACTTTGTATCTCCATCATCTTATTCATCACATTATTTTGAACACTAGATGTTTCCATTACTAATAACAACATTCACACCTCACATATCATGCAAGTTTACATATGTACTGACTGTCACTCAACTTCATTCAATGTGGACAACATAACATGAACTTGACAGATTTATCTTGTTTTTGAAGAATTGTAAATGAAGACCTATTTGTAGATTAAATTGACTTTATTATATATGACGCACTTTGCACATCACTAACCACTTCAGTGTTCACTGGAAATACATTTGTTCTTTCAAGACAAGGATGAGTGTATTTCATTTTTTTGTATTTCAGCAATGATTTGATCTATTCTGTGTCTCCTTCTGATCTTCTTTCATTCCTAAAATGTTCAGTGAATTCATTTTCACACTGGTGATGCAAATATATCATTTTCCAGATTGTTATAATAATAATGGCGAAATAGTATGCTCCACATAACACATTACCAAGTATAATTTCACGAATGAGGCTTTGGTTTGCATGAGTTCTCTTTCTTTAGAAATAGAACAGTTGACAAATTTATTGATGCCAAACATTTCATTAGCGTTTCGTGTTGTGGTGTGCACAAGTAATAGAGCTGTTTGGAATATTGTAATACGTTCGACAACAGGTATTTCTGTGTATGAATTGCTGCAAGAAGGAAAGACCAAGTTCAAACAACAATGGTTCTAGTGGTGGTCAAATATGTTCAGCAGCTGTGTCACCTCTTCACATTTTAACTAATCGATTCAAGTCAGACTAGTTAAGTGTATGACTGGGATGTTCATTATACTGCTTTTCCACAGAATAAGACCGATATAATTCTGGTCAGCATGTTGAATGCGCAGTATTCACTTACTAAGCGTTTCATTCATATGAATCCCTAAATCAGGTGATGTACAGACGTTGGGGGACTGAAATGTTCCAGTGTTGATCAGTTCATATTTGGAAACAAGGTACGCAGGATGTATCTGCTGTCGTGACTAAAGCGTCATGACAACCGCAATAGTAGTCCTACTCTTGATACTTAATCTACCAGATTGTCGTTAAATCCTTATACTTGTTTCAATAAAAGCATGGGTTTGAGGTCCTCAAGAAGAAAGAATCAATGGATTTATTAAGTCTAGTCGATTCTTTCAAAAGGTAGAGACGAGAATTCATACCTTCACAACTAATTACTTACCTCCCAAACAGATTGTCACTTATCTCATTTTAACATCTTTTAAATCGACTTTAGTGTTCATTCTTTCTACTCAAACAATCATTTTGGTGATCTTCATTTCATCTTCCTTTCAATTTCTAGTTTAGTACCTTTTCGATGAGTTATCTTGCATTGAATACTTGTTATGCATCGGTTCTAATTACTTGGATTAACTTGAATTATTTGTATAGTATTGTCACCTGTTATGAATAGCTTTCTGAAACCCAAATTCTCGGATTACTTGAGGCTATCATTTCATTTGACATATAGCTAACAATCAAATATTATAATTTATTATATTATATTATCATATAATGCTATTTATATATATTATATCATAATTTATACCCCATAACTCCACACTGGTTAATTGCAATTCTTTTCGATGTTATGCTATTTACGACATACATTCATAACTCATAACACAATATCCTCAATAACTATAACAGATTACCTGTGGCTTCCACAAATGTTCCACTTATAGGCGTTCCATGAATTCATTGTGATTACTGTGCTAACACACCCATAGTAACCGAATAATGTAATTAAGTGTTAACCGAAGCACATTCATAACACTCACTTAAAATGCACATTTGGTGGTGTAAAATGCCTTTGTTTGTGATATCATTCTGTAGAAGGGTGCAGGATGCCACTAACAAATTTGTTTTCTGAAGATATTCTGAAGAATAGGGAGGTGGATTTATTTATTCATTCGACCGTCACTTGGTCAATGTTTTGGTGGTTCCAAGTATCGATACCATCGATTTTATTTTCACATAAATCATATAGACTCATCCAGTTTTATTCTTTTCTGCTAAAAAAATGATGGTAGAGTTTTAATGAAGGTTGACAATCGCAAGATTCACCTATCCAGTTGATTCGAATTCGATTAATGAATACTTTCATCTTATGAATGCATCGTTTCACCCAGTTCAGTGGTATCAAGTGACATGGTGAAGCTCTTTCGTTCAGAATCTTGTTGCTCTCAGCCCACTATTACCAACACTGTTCTAACGGTGGAACGCACTGTCATTTGACAACAGAATGGTTTGTTTGGTGAAGTGATATACAGTGGAGCTAAGCTACAGAGACCGTATATTAAGATTTCCATTTCTAAAAGTTATTCGTATTCTGATTGTTTCATTTTCGCTTCACTCTATTCTTCATTGTTCCACAAGCATCGTCTTCCCTTCTCCTCCTCCCAACCTAATCTGTATATCAGGCATTCAAGGCTATTTCAGAAGACAGCACAAACAACAGACTACTGATAAATTTTTGTCAGTAGCATTTGCCACACCAAGAATACTCCTAATAATATCTGAGTAAGTTTGTTTCTTTAAATTTCATATGATTTTTAATTAAACGCATATAGTTTGAGAAGTGCCCACACTTTGTCACTCACTTGCATATTTCAGTTAATTTAGAAATTTGATTCTGCTTATACACTACCATTTATATCAGGTGAAATTTCGAGACTTTCTCAATTAGCATTATGAATAGTAAGAATAAAATTTGATTTATTGTGCAGTATACTTTTTTTGCCAGTTGAATATTGCTTTGCTCACTGATTAAATCAGACACCTACACCTGCACACACCGACACAGGTACACACAACCACACGCGTAGTCATAATAAAACACAAAGACATGACATTTATGTTAGGGTAGAGAATTTTATCACGAAAATGCAACTATATTTTTGTGAGGTGAGTCTGTGTTAATTAAATCAAACAATTTTTCCGAATGAGTTATTTATGGTATCCAATCTGCAGTAACCAGCGTATTATATAGTAGACTCACGATTTACCCAAATTAGAAGTTAACTGTTTTCTATAGAAAATTGTCTCCATCTAAAGTTGTTGTGTGTCTAAAGGAGTGTTTTATTTCAAAGTTTGAACGGAATTTCCCTCCGTGCAATTTTGTCACTTCACTTCACACTTAACTTTATCCACAACAGACGAGAATTTACTGATTAGTGTGAACCAATTCGATGGATGTCGATAATTTTCACCTGAGAATGATATCATCACAGCCATCACCACTCCGTCAACAATCATCACTAGTTGATCTGCGTTTGTGTTACTAATTATTGTATCATT